ATATAAACGTATGCTTTGATTTCAACTTCAAAATTATAGCAACTTTATCTTGTTTACTGATATGAACATATTGGTGTTTTATATTATACTATCCGCTATTACATCTAAAGGTAAGTGACTTTTGTGTTTACGAGGTACTGTGCATTTTTTTTATTAGGTGATTTTATGGAATTAGCCATTTAAAAAAATCGGGTTGATTAGAGGAAATTCTGTGAAATTCAAAGAGGAGAGCCTGGTTATATACAATATAAACATTAATGGATTTCGTTTTTATTTGCTATTAATATCTGAAGCAGAGAATAAAACATTAACCTTTAGACTGTCCATCTATCCATTTGCAGATGGATGCATTTATCTCGATTTTCACAAAGGATTATTTTCAAATAATATATTATGCAATATTTTTCCTTTAGCATATGGCGATGAAAACAAGTTGTGGGGGATTGAAGGAAATCGAATAAAGCTCTTAGCACCCACAGGCGTGCTTAAAGTAACAAGTGTAGAGTCACTGAACTGGTTCTATGGTAATGGTACGAACGCTAACAATGCTATCGTTACCCTGGTAAATCCCTATAAAGATCCATTTTGTATTGACGTCACTGAGCAAAGCTACGGAGATTTGATTATAGAACATGTGAACAGAACATATTCAGGATATTACACCTGTCAGGTTGTTGAGAAAGATGTATTTACATCATTGGTATCGACTTATTATTTAGTTGTATATTGTGAGTAGATTATTATGCACATCCTACTTAGACAATCAAGATAACTTTATTCTTTACCGAAAAAGGGTTGTTGAGAAGAATGTAGGCCTATACATATCTTAGGTATCCACTTCATGTTGTAAATTTATTTATAGGTTATTGGTTGCATCATCATATTTCTTTTCACTGTATATTTATTGTCTCAAAATTAAGAGATAAAATCAGGACGATGAGGACTTAGATGCTTAGGTATCTAATGATTCTTAAAAAATAAATAACAATGACTTGTATATTTATGATTTTTGAAATTGTTTTCTGTTAAAGATATGGATCCTCCTACTATATCAACAAATTGGAGTACTGAAAACAGCCACGCTACTTTCTTCTGCGTTTGGTCTAGAAGCAATCCAGATAAACCGATTGTAAAATGGTTCCTTGATGGCCGTGAACTCAAATCTACAAAAAATAAACTAATGTTATGTAAAGAGAAACGGAAAGCAACACTTGTTATTCTTAAAATATCTGGAAAAGATTTAGGGAATTACACTTGCAGTATTACTGTAAATACAAATAAGGGTGTTATGAGTAAGATTTCCAAAGGATTAGTCCTACATGTAACCGGTAGGTGTTTATTATGATATACTTTATTCTCTACCGAAAAAGGGTTGTTAAAAAGAAGAGGAATCTGCGAGTGCGAAAAAGTTGTCCTGACCGGGATTCGAACCTGGGACCTTTTGCTGTCTATGAAGACGCCTTAAGCAACTGGGCCTTTGAGGCTTTGTTGTGAATTTTATTTGAATAAATAAATAATAAATTATAAAATAACTTGTATTCTTGTATTTAAACCACAATCTGGTTTTGATATATGCACCGCAGGTAATCCAAACCTTGAACTTTTCTGTGCAGTCACCTCTCATGTGAAGGCGACTGCCTCTTTCGTTTCCACTTTTTTAATGATGAGCTTATAAAAATCGTGCAAGTTACCCTCAATGATTCAGTTAGCGGAACCGCGCGAATGAGGTTTTTGCTTGAGAGCTGTGCTTATTACAAGTCAGTGAGTGTTAAAATATACTCTGTATTTCAGGCGTACATAAGGTTTAATATTGTTGCAATGTTTAGTATTATTATAGGGTCGTGATGATCAGGGGCGGCACTAGTGGGGGTCCAGGGGGCAAGGTACTCCGCGTCGGGGACCTCTGGACCCCCACTTGGACCATCTGTCGGGGAATTTCCAGCAAGGTCGTCGGGAAAAAAATCAAATCTCGAACGCCAAAAGTGTAATTCAAGCATGTCTTACTAAGATGTCAACATTTTATGGATTAACTGTTTAGTGCGAGCAGTGCTACCGTATGTGCGAGGTGTTGCATACTATTTCGATCGTATGGGTTGCAGTGGTGGGCCAGCTCTTCCACGAAAGGGGATGGTACCTCCGACAGGGGAACTAATACCCCGACATCCCTTTTAAATAAAGAACACAAACTTTTATTTTCTGTTAATAAAAAGAAAATATTTTTTCTCCGACAAATTTAATTTTTCCTCGACCGGAAGGTGGGGGAGCTAGCTTCCACAACCGGGGGTGGAGGGGTGGGTGTCCCCTTGTTGGGGAGCTTGGACTCCTCGACGGGGATTTCCTAGCGCCCGCCTCTGGCGATGATAGGAAACATACTCTCCTTCCAATAGAACATCTTTAATGAACATATTCACTCAGAGTGCTGAGTGGTGCTTACTGGATCATTTTATATTAGTTTAATATTTAGTAACACCATCACTGTATATTTTTCTAGGTCTTCCGGTCAAGGTATCCACTTATACAGTCCTCATCGTTACAGCAGTTACATCATTCATTCTTGGTTCTTTTCCAACTTGTCTAATATGCCACTGCATCCGTGTAAGTATTGACATATCTCAACCCAATATAACCATATTATCATCATCATTAAATTATGGAAATAGGCCTATTATAGTATCATTAATAATGTTTTTGATGGGGAAAATGTTATTATTGACACCAGCATTATGTTGTTTATGTGCAATATTTTTTTTTCTACCTGAAAAAATAGTCTTTTTTTCCTCGGCAGAGGGTTGAGAGGGCAGCTTTCCCCGACGTGACGCCATCCACGTTTTTATACTATAACACAAAGATCGCATTGTTTTAATTCTACTTATTTAGAAAAGGCATGAACGAGAAAGTCATCACCAGTATCAGAGGCATCAGAACCAAGTGCTACAGTTGAGGTCTTTGCTCACCAGAGCTACCCACCACAGTGACGATGGTGCTGCAGCCAGAAACTCACCGAATGTGGAAAATGTGCATCCGCTCTTGGTTTGACGGTTTTATTTCGGATGCGGGAAAATAATGCGTATAAAGACCAAGTGAAGTATGATGTAATAAATGCATACGAGCAAAAATAGGCCTATTTAATTATACAGCTGCTGTAAATGAG